GGCTAGTCATGCCAATAAGTTGAATAACTGTAGCCTCAGATGCAGATCTTCTGGTGCACTTGAAGAAAAAGCAAGACAATGTAGGACACTCTTCCTGCTCCAGCCACACCTATGGCTGCAACACCTATAGCCTAACTAGAGACCTGACATGAGATGGGACTTTGAAGAGGGAAAGCATTCCTCAGAATAGAGCAAGGAAATGCTATATGGTTCAAAATCAGGAAAGGAGTGCATCAGGGATGCAACCTGTCTCCATACCTTTTCCATTTATATGAAGAACAGATCATTTGGAAGGCTGAACTTTACGAGGAAGAATGTGGCATTAGGATTAGAGGAAGATTCATCAACAACCTGTGTTATGCAGAAGATACAACCTTGCTTACTGAAACAGAAGAGGACCTGAAGCATATGCTGCAGAAGTCAAGGACTGAAGTCTCCAATATGGATTGAAGCTCAACATTAAGAAGACAAAGATTCTCACCACTAGGCCATTTGGCAACATCATGTTAGATTAACAAGAGATTAAGATTGCTAACAATTATTTAATTTGCTCAGTTCCACAATCAACATCCTTTGTGGCAGCAGTCAGGGAATCAGAATATAAATTGCATTGGGTAATTGTCAGGGACCTCTCTACAGTGCTGAAGAGCAACAATGTCACTCTAGAGACTCTAATCCAGGCCCTGGTCTTTGCAGCTACTTGTTTTAGAGGGTTGTCTGTCCTCTTGGAGAAGATGAAACCAAGTTGCTGCATGAAGGTAAGGATCTTGAATCTCTGTTTCACATATTTTGGGCATATTGCCAGGAGGGACCAATTCTTGAATAAGGCCATCATGTTTGGAAGGGTGGAGGGACAACACAGGAGAGGAAGACCCTGGATGAGATGGATTGACACAGTAACTGGGGTGAGACTGGCTCAGGATAGGGCAGGGTTCAGAGCTCTTGTACATAGGGTCACTTTGAGTTCCAAGCAACTAGATGGTACATGATAGTAACAACTCATATCATACTCACAACCTTGTCAGCATATTCGGGGCTGCACATGTGTTTGTTGAAATATGTCAGCTGGTAACCCATCAGTTCCTGGTGATTTCTTTTTTGCCATTTCCTTCAGAGTAGCTTACACTTCCTCCTTTATTACCAGTGGTTCTTGATCTATGCTATTTCTCAAAATGTTTCTGTGTCAACCAATTCTTTTTGGTACAGTGACTGTGCATTCTTTCTGTGTTATTTTTTTTCCCTCTCACTTTCTTTTGATGTTTTGTGGGTTATTCAGTATTTTGCCAATTAACATCTTTAAGATTTGCAACTTAAGAGTTGAATTTGTTCTTCAGTTTCTTCAGCTTGAGAAATGCCAAATGAGTTCTTCCCTTTTGACTTTCTGACTTTAGTTTTTTGCTTTGTCTTTCCAACCTCCCATTAAGATCTTCTTTTTGACTCTTTAATTTCCTCCTTTTGTTTTGATATCTTGGTGTTCTAGTGCAATATTCAGAGTCTCTTCTGACATCCATCTTGAACTATTATTCTTCTTCTGTCTCTGTAATGAACTTTTGCATTCTTCATTGATCATATTCTTGGTATCTTCCCAAAGCTCATCTGGTCTTTGTTCATTAACGTTCAAGGCCTCAAACCCGTTCTTGAGAAGGTGAGATAGATTCACAGACCTATTTTGGTTCTTGCAGATCTGTTTTTATCTTCTTTGGCTTCATTATGAACTTCCACATGCGTAGCTGATGATCTGCTCCACAGTCAGCACCTGCTCTGATTTTCACAGCCATTATTGAGCTTCTCCAATGATTGTTTCTACAGATGTAATTAACCTGATTTCCTGTGTAAGCCATATCAGGTGTGTAGAATTGCCATTTGTGTTTTTAAAAGAAGGTGTTTGCAATGAAGACATTAATTTTGCTTTAGGGGTTGTTTTAGAGGGTTGTTTTTGTTGTTAGGTGTCACTGAGTTGACTGTGACTCTATTGCTGTTGCCCCTACGCTCCTTTCCCTTCTCTGCATCCCTATAATCTCTTGCATGCATGAGCCCACTGTTTCAGTCACTGTGCCATCCTATCTTGTTAAGGTTTTTCTCTTTTTCACTGACCCTCCTCCTATCTCAGGATGATGTCTTTTTTTCATGGATTGGCCATTCCTGAAAACATGTCCATATATGTGAGAGGAAGTTTCACCTTCCTTGCTTCTAAGAAGTACTTTGGTTAGACTTCCTTCAAGACAGACTTGTTAGTTCTTTGGCAGTTCATCTAATGTTGAACACTCTTCTCCAACATTACAATTGGTTCTTCTTCTGTAATCCCGAGTTATTGTTCAATTTTCAGATCCATAGGAAACTACTTAAAATACCATGGCTTGGATCAGGCATACTTTAGTCTTTAAAGTGATATCTTTGCTCTTTAGCACTTTGAAGAAGCCCTTTGACAGCAGATTTCCTTAATGCAGCACATCTTTTATCTTTACTGCTTACAGCTACTGGTGTTGATTGTGGATCCCAGCAAAAGGAAATCATTAACAAATTAGATCTTTTCTCCACCTATCATGATGCTATTTGTCCAGTAGTGAGGATTTTTGTTTTCTTGATGCTGAGATATAATCCATATTGAAAGTTGTAGTTTTTTATCTTCCACAGCAAGTGTTTCAAGTCCTTTTACTTTCTATAAGCAAAGTTGTTTCATTTGCATAATGCAGGTTGTTGATGACTCTTCCTCCAATTCTGATACTACATCCTTCTTCATAGAGCCCAACTTTTAAAACTATTTTCTCAGCATACAAATTGGATAGGAAGAAAGGATTTAGCCCTGATACATATTTTTCCAATTCTTTTTGGTACAGTGACTGTGTAATTCTTCCATCTTCTTTTAATACTTCCTGGATCATTTAGTATTCTACCTGTAGCATCCTTAAGTATTGCATTTTAGGCTTAAATTGGTTCTTTAGTTCCTTTAGCTGACCAAGATTCTCACCACTGGGACAATTGGTAGCTACATGATGGATGGAGAAGAAATTGAGGTTGATAACAGATACAGCTTGCTCAGCTTCACAATCAACATGCTTGGCACCAGCAGTCAGAAAATCAAAAGATGATTAGGTAAAACTGAATTAGATAAATCTGTCAGCAAACTTTCCAGGGTACTAAAGAAGCAACTATGTCAGTCTAGAGACTAAGGTGCACCTGATCCAGTCCATGGTATTTGCAATTACTTTCTATGCATCAGAGAGCTGGATAATGACTCAGAATGATAGAGGAAGAATTGATGACTTTGAGTTGTGGTGTTGGAGAAGAATCTTCAACATACCATGGACCCCCAAGAAAACAAATAAGTCTGCCTTGGATAGGGTGGAAACCAAGATTCTCTTTGGAGGCTAGGGTTTTGAAGCTTTGTCTGACATACTTTGAGCATGTGGCCAGGAGGGACCAATCCTTTTTGGAGGACATCATGCTCGGAAGGATGGAAGGACAGCATAGGAGAGGAAGACCCCGTATGAGATGGATTGATACAGTAATTTGGGTAGTGGGGGTGTGTGTGTCGGAGTCAGTGAGACTGGCTCAGGGCAGGACAGGCTTCAGAGCTTTTGTACCTAAGGTCACTTTGAGTCGCAGGTAATTAAATCAGACATAACAACAACTTTTGCTGATTTTAAACCATGCAATGTTCCCTTTTAGTTATACAAGGTGTGACTGGGAAATCACAGTGCTTGTTTCTATAATCAATAGATCCTGGAACCTTTTAAGTGTGCTGATGCTCTCTCCTGTGAAATTCACATGACAATGACCTCTATAATGTTTACTCTCTTCTTTAGAATCACCTTCCCACTTGGAGGTGGCTGCTACTCAGCTTACCTCACTATCTACTCACAATAAATGTATTTTGTTATGTTAGTTTTTTCTTCAATTAAAAATATTATTTCTTAAAAAATATTATTTCTTAAAAAATGAAAAGAGAAAAGCAAGAGTTAATGTTGAGTGAGAATTAATGAATGTATTTGGCAAGTTTCATTTGCTGGAGCTGTTAGAAGCAGCATGTAAGTATATTTAGGTTTCTGGGATCCATGGAGTTGAGAAGACCTATTCCATTTCCTCAAATCTTTTGTTGAACCTTGAATGTTGAGAAAACTGGTGTCTTTTTCTTTTTGCCTTAGATAGCATATGCCTTTATAATGTTCATCATCATGAAGATGTTCTTTTCTGAAATGGGTTAATAATTTTATCTTGAATTACAAATTTTAAAACTCAATCTTTTCCTTTCAAATAACAATCAGTTTACAAATTTCCCTTTCATCCATTGAACCACCTCCTGTTCACAGTCATGATTAACTCTGGTCTTCATTCTCCAGGAGCTGTAAGCTCTTGTGGCCTGAACCTCTCATGCCAGTAGCGTCCCAGACTACCTTCTGCTCATGCCTGCCTGCTTCCCGCTCCCGTGAAGCTCTGGGTAGGAAGTCGCTAAGGCCAAAGTCCCGGGTGATGCGCCAGGTGGTGCTCTTTCTTCCCCCAGAACTTTGCAAAGCTTTCATTCCCTGGAGGCCATGTCAAATGTTTCTACTAGGACCAAGTGTTCCCTGAACACTGATGAAAACAGTGAGACACGAGGCGCTGAACTTGTCTCCGGAGCTTACTCCCTGCCTGTGCGACGGCAGAAATGAGAGAGGCACAGGCAGAAATGAGAGGCACAGCGCAGGAGCCACAGGCAGGTGGTCTGGATGCCCCGCAAGTTCCGACTTGTGGGCAATTGCGGTTTTCATACTGGTGGCAGGAGAGGAGGAGTCATGGAGCAGCTGCAGGAAAGATTCCTTGTGAGGCTCAGAGACTGGCTGCTTTTCAGAGCCAAGGCATGAAGCTACGCTGAAGACAGAGCTGGAACTCGAGATAAAGAGAGAACTCCAAGATAAGTGTGCTAAGGGGTTGCAGTGATTGCATCCTCCCCCAAACTGCTGCATTGACCCTGGACGTCTTTGACATTCAACCACACTCTGGCCCTCAGCCAGCCGGTTGCTATGATTGGCAGATTATGGACTGTGGCGCTGGTGCTGATGATCTGGGTCCCGGGGGAAGGTCGCCAAGGTAGGGGACGGTGGTGTAGGATGGAGGAACGTCGCCTGAGGCCAGAGATAGGGGACAGGGTGGGGCTGGCCTGTGGGGTGTCCCTGTGCATCTTAATAAGTGACTTGATGATTCCATCCAGCTTGAAGACTGAGTGTATTTGATTTTTTGGTGCTGACTAACAATTGCCCTTTTGTTTCAGCCTTTGCAATTGCTACTTTGTCACTTGAGCTCTTTCATTCTCGCCTTTAAATTTTTGTTTTAAAATGAAAGTGTAATTTTAAATCTCTTTTTAAACATTTTTGCTTTATACTGGTTTGCTTACAAAGTTCACAGACATTGTGTTTCACACTATTCTATATTCACATTGTGTTTCATACAGTCATTCTCATTCACTATGTGTTATAAAATTAATCACTATTGGACTATGCCCACCATTGTTCTGTCTTCTCAGGTTCCCAGCAGATCTTTCCCATTTCCTTTACCCCCTCTGTCCACCCACCAAATTGTGCAACCCTGAGATTTCTCCCCTACCCATCCTCACCCCTCTGCTCCCATCCTTTCCCCATTTGGAGCAAATGATTGAAGTGCCTTTTCACCTACTCTCTCTTGGTCCCACTTGGTTATGTGATGCTTGTTTTCTGTTGATATCCTTTGCTTTTAATTTCTCATAAGAAACTTTTGCTGGAGGTGTCTGAAAATGAGTCAGAATTTTCAAAAGCAAATTGAGTACGAAATGGCAAGCCTCATTATTTCTACCCTTGCTGTGTAGAAATTATTATTTGGAAAACATCTTTATCTCTACAAATATTAAATTAATTTCGTGTATAAGGGGTTTTTTTGGTACATCTGGCAGAATCACTTTTGGTAATGGCAAAGAGATCTCGGTTGGGAGAATAACTCACTCTCAACTTTAGTCTCTGACAAAGAAAACAGTTTAAAATACAGTGAAAGTGTTTTAAATAAAGCTCACACATGTGCACAGAGTATTTTGTGAGCCTTTCTTCAAATAGGCATGTTAAATGAAAAGTGATTGTTATCCTCAAAGATACCCATCCTTTGTACCATTATCTGTATCTTGGGAAAGAATATATTTAACATTTACTACTGTTTTGATCTTATGTGTCTTCCAGTAGACTACAACTCATAGCCAATCTAGAAACAACTTTGCAGGTACAAAATTGTTTTAAATCTCAGTTTAGGAAATAATTTTAACTTTTCTCATCTCGTTGACCTTCATCTATTTACCCGTGGTAAATTTGCTTTCAAAAAGGGGATGGGAACAAGAATCTCTTGATACAAAATTTGTTAAATATTAAAACCCAATTACTTAGATCATTTCCTGAAGCAATACATTTTAACATGATATCAGTGGTCTCTGCATTCTTTGTTTGCTTACAGATTTAACATGGTTTCATGAAGAACATATTATGCATTTAGTTAAACAAAATATTCCCAGAAAAAAAGACCAAAATTTCTAAATTGAGAATATGTGATGTTTACTATAGATCACATAAGGAATTCTGGCGATACAGTGGTTAAGACACTTTGCTACAAACAAAAAAAAGTCTGCAGTTGGAACCTCTCAGTTCCTCCGGTGGGGAAATATGAGGGAGTCAGCTTGTCTGAAGATTTGCAGCTTTGAAATCCTAGAGAGCAGTTCTACTGTGTCTCAAAAGGTAGCTATGAGCTGCAAGTGACTGCATGCCACTTTATGGTTACAGTTTTAATAACTCTCCCACCACCAATTTCTGGCAAACAGATCTTTTCACTGTCTCTAGAAGGGGTCGTGGTACTAGGGATATTGTAGCTAATGTTAGATGGATCTTAGCTGAAAGCAGGGAATATCAGAGAAATGTATATCTGTGTTTCATTGACTATGCAAATGTGTTTGACTGTGTAGATCATAACAAACTGTGGCTGACTCTGAGAAGAATGGGAATATCAGAACACTTACTTGATCATGCTAATGCAAAACCTATACTGGGACCAAGAGGCAGTCATCAGACAGAGCAAGGAAATACTGCATGGTTCAAAATTGGGAAGGGCGTGTGCCAGGGATTTGTCCTGTCTCTATACCTTTTCAACCTGTATGCAGAACAGATTATCCAGGAGGCTGGGCTCTATGAGGAGAAATGTGGGGTCAAGATTGATGGAAGATCTATCAACAATCTGTGATAGGCAGATGATACAATCCCGCATGCTGAAACTGAGGAGGACCTGAAGCGCTTGCTGCAGAGGGTCAAGGACTGCAGGCTTCAATATGAATTGAGGCTCAATGTCAAGAAGACAAAGATTCTCACCACTGGGCCAATTGGAAGCTTCAGGATGGATGGTGAAGAGATTGAGATTGTTCACAGCTTCAGTTTGCTCAGCTCCATGGTCAACACTCTTGGCACCAGTAGCCAAGAAATTAGAAGATGTATTGCCATGAGAAAGTCTGCTGTTAGGGACCTCTCCAAAGTACTGAAGAGCAATGGTGTCTCTTTGGAGACTAAGGTGCATCTGATACAGGCCATGGTCTTTGCTATCACTTGTTATGCATCAGAGAGTTGGACAATGACTAAGGAGGATAGAAGGAGAATTGATGCCTTTGAGCTGTGGTGCTGGAAGAGTATTGAGGGTACCATGGACTGTTAGGAAAACAGAATCATCCTGGAAAGGGTCAAACCGGTTGGCTCCTTGGAGGCAAGGATTCTAAGGCTCTGTCTAATATACTTTGGATATGTTGCAAGGAGGGACAGGTCCTTGGAGAGGGACATCATGCTTGGGAGGGTGGAGGGACAGCGCAGAAGGGGAAGGCCCCCTATGGGGTGGATTGATTCAGTGACTGGGGTAATCAGGATGGGTGTATCAGAGACGGTGCGATTGGCACAGGACAGAAGAGAGTTTAGGGATATTGTACGTAGGGTCGCTATGAGTCACAAGCAACTTGACAGCACATAACAACAACAACAACAACGTTTTGTCATTCACGAAGTATTGTCTAGTTGGAATCATGTAGTATGTGGCTTTTCCAGATTGGTTGCTTTCACTTAATAATATACTATTAGGATTCTTCTGTGACTTTTCATGCCTTGATACCTCATGTCTTTTTTTCTCACTGAATAATATTCTATTATATGGATGTATCACAGTATTTGACCATCTGTTGATGAACATTTTGGTTGTTTCTAATACTGGGCAATTAAGAATAAAGTCACAAACAAAATTTTATGGATTATTGAATGGTAAGCAAATTTCTTTGTAAAATTTTATTCAGAGCATAATACAAACTTAAAAACAAGGGGTTTTTTTGAAAAAAAAGAATAAAGCATATATAAACATTTTAATATAGGCCTAATATTTTCATTTTATTTGGACAAATTCCTAGAAGCACAGTTACTAGATTGGATAGTTAACCTGCATTCAACTTTCTAAGAAACTGTCAGACTGTCTTTCTTTCTTTTTTTAAATTTTTTTTCTTCAAACTTCTTTTCAAAGTGATTGTATCACTTTGCATTTTCACTAGCAATGAGTGAGTGCTCTTATTATTTAATGAAATTTTTGCTGGCATTCAGTGTTGTCAGTTTTTTTTTTTATTTTAGTCATTGCGATGGATGTGTAATAGTATTATTATTTGATTTGCAATTCCCTAATGACTTGGTTATAAGGCACTGCATTGCCAATACAAAGGCTCAAATCCACCAATTGCTGTGCAGGGGAAAGACGGGCAGAAACAGTGATGGCATATGGACGACGTTCTAGTTGTCTAGTGCGTAAGGAGTTGCACTGTCAACCACAAGGCAGGTGACTTGAGTCCACTGATTGCTCTGAGGGAGAAAGATGGACAGTTTTTTCCTGTGTGATTTATAGTATCTGAAAACCCACTGGAGAGTCAGCTAGAAGTCAGTTCTGACTTGATGGGACCTAACAGCAACAAATGGCATATGGCTATTATTAGGTGTCATCGGGTTGATTGCAACTTGTAGTGACCCTGTGAAGGACAGGGCTGACCTCTCCTCTATCCTGGGCCATCCTCATCATCCTTGCCAGACCTGAGTCCATTGTTATTGTCACTGAGTCAATCCATTTTACTGAGGGTCTTCCCCTCATTCCTTGACTTTTCTTTTCTCTGAGCATGACGTTCTTTTCCAAGGACTGATCACTCCTAACGGCCCAAAGTATGTGAGATGAGTTTCACCATCCTTGCCTCAAAGAAGCACATTGGCTGCACCCTTTAAAAATTGTATTTGTTTGTTCTTTTGAAAGTTCATTGAGTATTTTGAACTCTTCACCAGCACCATAACTCAAAGGCATCAATTCTTCTTCTGCCATTTTTATTTGCTGTCCAACTCCACATGTTAGCAAATAATTGCAAAGACTCTGACTTGGATGAGGCATACTTTAGTCTTTAAACTGATATACTTGCTCTTTAGCACTTGGAAAGATCCCTGAGCTTAGATACACAAAATGCAACATGCCTTTGATTTTCTAACTGCTAGTACCAAGGTTGATGATTGTGGATCCAAGTAAGATGAAATCATTGACAATTTCTACCTTCTTCATCTATCATGATGTTGCCTATTGCAAAAGAGTATTGTTTTCTTGCCGTTGAGAGATGTACAATATCGCAGACTACAGTCTTTCTGCAGCAAATGCTTCAAGTCCTCTTCACTTTCATCAAGGAAAGTCATGTTATCAGCATAATGAAGGTTTTTGATGAATCTTCCTCCAATCCTTATGCCATATTCTTCTTCAGAAAGTCCAAGTTTCTCTAATGATTCAAACATACAGATTGAATATGAATAGAGAAAGGATACAGCCCAAACACATATCTTTATTTAAATTATATAATATTCTCCTACTCTGTTCATACAGCTTCTTGGTCTAGGTATAGATTTCATATTAGCACAATTAAGTGTTATGGGATTCTCATTCTTTTTAGTGTTAGCTACAATTTGTTATGATCCACACAGTTAAATACCTTCACATAGTCAACAAAACACAAGTAGACATCCTTCTAGTACTCTCTTCTTTCAGCCAAGATCCATCTGACATCAGCAGTCATATCCCTAGCATATGGCATACGGAGAGCCCGGGCAGTACAAACAGGTGATGTGCATTTGGCTTCTAACCAAGTCTACTCAGTCATGCCTCAGAATGAAGGCCTAGTGAAATATTTCTGAAAAAAGGAGCCATTGAAAAGTATTGGGTATCTCATGGACCGTCAAAAGAACAAATAAACGGTTTTGGAGGAAATGCAACAAATGTGCTTTGTAGAGACAAGGGTGGTGAAACATCATCTCACATATTTTGGGCATGTTATCAGAAGCAGTCAGTCCTAGGAAAAAGACATCATACTGGGAAGGGAAGAGTGTCAGATAAAGAAAGGAAGATCCTTAACTAGATGGCTTAAAATGGTGACTGTAATACTGGGTCCAAGCATGATAGAGATTTTGAGAATAGCAAGGAGAGTGCAATATTTTGACCTGTTATTCACAGGGTTGCTATGAGTTGTAGTTGACTCAAAAGCACCTAATAATATCAATCACTACTGACAAATGTACAAAATTTCATTCTACTCTCATGCACATGGTATGGCCATGAGTCAGCTTAAGGAAAATTGTCTTTGAGGGTGGTTTGTTTGTGTTTTGTTTTGTTTTGTTTTTCTTCTTTCCTTCTTTTGCACTGGTGGCTCAGTGGTAGAGTTCTCACGTGAAGACCTGGCAATGATTCCCAGCCGAAGCCTCACTTGTGAAGCTCTCTGCTGTCAGTAGAGGCTGACATGTTACTATGATGCTGACTATTTCAGTGGTGTGGATGGAATCCAGACTGAGGCAAACTAGGAAAAAACTCTAGTGGTCTACCTCTGAGTCATAGCCACTTGTAAAAATGTAATCTGTTTCTTAGATATACTGCTCTAAGTCAACCAGTGAAAAATCATTATTGTTCACAATAGGACAGGATTGAGCAGTATTTAGTCATGTTGTACTAGAGTTACATGAATTCATGAGTCTACTCAGTGCTAATAGCAAAACCAAAAATCAATAAAATAAAGAACAATTAAACTAGCATCAAGAACTAATGACAATAGAATTCTTGAAGCTTTAATATCTTAGAAGTATACTACTAATAGTATTTATGGAAAGTAAAAGTTATGTCACCTTTGACTTACTAAGACATTTGACACCAGGTAATCTTTATGTTTGATGGTGTTTTTGTCTTGCATTTCCTCTGAGATTCAATTATAAGTGAGAATTAGAACATGTTAACTATGAAAGCATGGACATAAAGAGAACTGTTTTCTATCCTAGTTGAAGAGTGTTCTCCTGGGGGGCACCAGATTCTCCAGAACCCTTATAGAAACATCCATTTTGACACAATGCACCTCCAGCAGTCAGCTGCCCAAAAGCTGATATGTGACCATTCTCTCTCCCCTGGATGGTATCGTTTTCTCATCTTTGACGAACCTGCTGAGATGCCAACCAAATGTGTTGAGGTACTTCAATTATTTACTCTCTAAGAACTTCATGAGTTGTTTTTTTGGAAGGTTGTAAAAAGAATAAATTGAATTTTCTTTTAGCCCATTTATTTTTACCCTAATGGTTAAAATTTTGTATAAAAAATGAATTTAAAGGAGCATTTTAATTTACAATAATAAAAAAAAAATAAATGTTCCATGTCATGCTGTTTACCAAGTGTTTTTAGTATAATCTTCACAACATCTCATGATAAAGGGAATCATCATTTTCATGTCATAATGCAAAAATCATACATTCTTAATAGTTACTGCTCTAGGCTTATTCAGCAAGCTGATGTGCATTGTCCTGAACACTGTCACTTTCTAGGGCTCACATGATCAACCACAACTAAACTTTAAGCAGTCAGATAAGTTTTTTAGGTGTTTCCTTTTTGTTGACTGCTGCTCAGTTCTGCATTTATTGGCTGTGGGCTCTAATGGTTTGATATGTAGCAACCAGCACCTCCAATAGACTACAGACTGTAGAACTTAGCCTGGCAGCAAAATCTCAAAGTAGTTCCTGGTCCGCAACCTAAAGGCAGTGCCCCTCAAGTAACTTCAGCACCTTCCCGAGAAGCCTTCCTCTCAAACCTATTTTCCTCCAACATAGCCGACATACCTTGTTTTCTTTATCATTGTGAACACCACAAATGGGACTTTAAAATAGAGATCATCTTCTTTTGGACTTTTAGATGTGAAACCACACAGGCTGTGCTTTTTTCTGCAATTTACTTTTAAACAGAGTTCACAATGTTTTTTTATATTCTTTTTTAACACTGTTTATTGTCTTAGATGTTTTTAATTGTGCATATACCTTTTCTCTCCCATTAACGTTGTTTCATAAGATCATTTTTATATATTGTGTCTTAAAAAAATTAATCATCATTCTGAGTCTCACTATTATTTCTATGTAGGTGAACCAGCTTCACTGCTTTTCATTTGAAGTTATTGTCGTTGTTATGTGCTGTCGAGTCGTTTGCAACTCAGAGCGACCCTATGTACAACAGCCCTAAACCCTGCTCTATCCTGTGCCAATCGCACTGCCTCCGACACACCCATCCTGATTACCCCAGTCACTGAATCAGTCCACTTCATAGAGTGTCTTCCCGTCCTGCGTTGTCCCTCCACTCTACCAAGCATGATGTCCCTCTCCCTTGACTAATATGTTTTCTTTTTTAAAATATTTTTCTTAAAAAAAAAAACCAAAACGCTTCAAAGGGAACATGGCCAGTGTGTGCCAAAGGCTGTAAGAAGTGGCTCAGATTTGCCCCAAATGGGACATTTCTTCTCATTTGCTTTGATTTAGCTTCTACTTATTTTTATTTTCTAGCTAGTAATTGATAATTAGCTTCAAGTGAATTTTACTTGATTCCCCCTGAGATGTCCAATTAATTATTGCATCACATCTATTTAAAAAATCCTTTCTTTCATGACTAATTATTTCTCTTGACTAATTAGCTTCTTATTTGTACCAATTTTTCAAATATTGTGCAGGCAATAATTTAACATGAGTTAATATAGTCTTTGAATGTGTCAACAATTTCAGTAGAGTAAAAACGCCAAAAAACCCCCCAAAATGTAAATGGAAAAAGTGTTTATATTTATAAAACAATTGTACTAATTAGAAAAGATATGCACTTAAATTTAATATTCCTTGGAGTACTTTTTTTTGTTACATAGTATAAAATAAAATTAATAGATTGACAAAATAATATTGTTAAGGTGGTTTGGAAGAAAATTAAAAGCTAAGGAACTCATCAAATGTAAAAATAAACTGGATTTTCTATTTTCTCCCTCTCTGATGCAAAAGGTGAATCACTGCGGAACTCAGGCGCCCATCTGGTTGTCTCTGAGTGATTCTGAAACACTGCCTCCTGCTGGAGAGATCAAACACCTGACAGCGTGCGTCACATGGCAGTCTCTGTTAAGTACTAGGAAAGACTGCTGTCTTTTTCAAATTCCTGTGTCTGTAAGAAACTGTGGACATTTTTTCGTATATTTACTGCAACCCACTCAGGGTTGTATGGGATATTGTGCAGAAGGTAAGAATACATTAATAATGCACATAAACCAATTTTGGAGCTATGTGCGCAGAAAGGTTTCTAGCTAAGAGGTTTGCGCTAATACAAGTAACACTAAACACTAAGAGCTTCGTTTTCCATTATTGCTAGAGATAAAGACAGGAGTCTGTGGACGTTTCTGTAGAGCCATCGTTAACTTGACTCCTTTGGTGTCAGGAAGAATTAGCGTGTGACTGGTCCTTGTTAAAAACAATTTTGATCAGGGTGGGCTTATAAGAGTAACCAAAGCAACTGGGAATCAATTTCTGCAATCCTTTGCATGAATTATAGAAGCAATTCCCAGGAACTGACATCTAATTTGCTGTCAAATTACTTGATGATTAGGACCTAGATTTTAGAAAAAAGTTATCAAAACTATAATTGTTTTGGGATATGATTTAATCTCACCTCTCTTTTTCTCATTTTGAAATGGGAAAAATTATGAAAAAAAAATGCCAAAAACTGCTAAACATTTCATAGTTGTTTTAAAAAGTAATTCTCCAAAGAATTGCGTTCTTGCATATGTGTAGACATATATATATATATTTTTTTTAATGACCACATGAATTATTCTATGCATCTTAACCTTTTGCAGCAATTTCTGATCTAAAATTGCCACAATGTGGTCTTGGTGAAATTGAAATTGGAGGTAACTGTGTTCGTAAGTATCAGATTTTGTGTTTTGAACTATGTATTTACCAACAAAAAAAAATTTCAACCATTTTATATCCTGAAGATGACAAATTGTAGGGTTTGGCAGTTTAAATTAACATCCTTGAAATACATGCATATCTTGGATGCAGCAGGTCTATGTTCAAGAATCTATCTTCAAGAAGATATAAAAACACACAAACTTAATAGTTACAATAGCATTTCTTAAGAGTATGAAATAACAAATATATGATAAATGATGATTAGTTCAATACTTAAGATGTATTCATAATGGCAAAATAGTCTGTAAACACCTTAACATTTTTGTCATTAGCTAGTATATATGGTATATTGTAATTTAGAAGTCAGATTATACAGTACAATCTCATTTTTGTTTCCTATAAATATTTTCATTGATCTAGCTAAGTCATGAAAACCAAGCACCTAAAATGTTAATGTCAGGGATGGTTTTCTCCTCTTTTTACTTTTGTATCTTTTTTGACCTTGTAAATGTTACTTCAGCTATTAAGAAGTGCTGCTAACTATAACCATCCTTAAAATAAATCACTCTGAGTTGCTTTCCCAGAATATATACCCACTGGGAATGAATTGTCCTATCTTGTTTTCTAATATACTTTTTTTGTTTTTCCCTAGTGGTTTTTTAACGCTATTTTTAAAAAATTGATTCATTTATTTGGAGGATGTAAATTCTCAGTCAGTAGCTGTTATAGTCACTGTGTCAATCCATCTTGTTGATTGTCTTCCTCTCTTTCTCTCTTTACCTTTGCCAAGCTGATGTCCTCTTCCCAGAACTGGTCTCTTCTGACAATACATACAGAATATATGAGATGAAGTTTCACCATCTTTGGCTCCATGGGACACCCTAGTTGCACCTCTTCTAAGGCATATCTGGTTGTTATTTTGGCAACCCAGAAGACGTTAAGTATGCTTCTCCAGCACCACAATTCAAAAGCATCATAGGGTTTATGATTTACAAAATACATTTTGGAGACACACAATTCAATATATAATAGCAGATATGAGTTTTCTTTATGATGTGCATATATTGTAGTAAAGTCCTCTTTCCTCCTTTATTAGATACTAAATCTCAACTGCTTGTTATTAGGCTCTTTTTTATGCAATGGATTGAAGAAAAACAACTATACAAAATCATATATAATTTGCTGGATGAAAATATTGAGTCAAGCATCAATAGATTAAGTATCTTGGTAAAATAGAAAGTATATCACTAAGTAGATGTTAATATTAGAAGAAAGAGGTAAGAGCTGTGCTTTTCAAATTGATTACTTATCTGACATTTTTGAAAAATGAAATAAAGATAGCATTTTTAAAATGTATATTATGGAAAGCAATGGTAAATCCAATTTATACTATGTAAGAGAATTGATTCAAACATTTTAATAATCATGAGTTGTTATGTCATTATGTGTTTCCAGAACCAACTCATATCTGACCTTTCTGTGGGTTTTCAGAGGCTGTAAACAGCCTAAGAGAAGATCACCTATTTTTTTCTCCCACAGAGCAGTTGGTGGATTCTAACCACTTGCTTTTGTTGTGGCCACATAACTCCTTACCACTGGGCCACCAGAACTCTTGAATGAGTCTTAAAAGTTATTTATCATCTCTCAATAGTAATGATATTATCTGTTGGCTGGGTGGTGAGGATCTTTGTTTCTTGATACTGAGCTGCAAGTCATACTGAAGACTGTAGTTCTTGGCCTTTTGCAGCAAAAGCTTCAAGTCCTCCTCAGTTTTGGTTAGCAAAGTTGTGTCATCTGCATAACACAGGTTGTTGATGGGTCTTCCTCTTGGTGCTATGTTCTTTTTCACAGAGTCCAGCTTCCCAAATGATCTGTTCTGCATATAGATTGAAAAGGTATAGAAAAAGAATGCATCCACGACACTCTCCTTTCTTGATTTTGAGCTATACAGTGTTCCCTTGATCTATTCTGAAAACAGCTTCCTGGTCTAGGTCTATGTCTTACATAAGCACAAAGGGATTCCCATTCCTCTTAACATTAACCACAGCTTATTGTGATTTACAGTCAAATGTCTTTGCATAGTTAAAACACAAATAGACAGCCTTCTGATACTTTCTGCTTTCATCCATGATCCCATCTGACATCAGCAATGATATCTCTAGTGTCACAGCCTCTTCTAAACTCAGCTTGAATCTCTGTCAACATTCTGTTTTAGTCATTTTTTAATAATCTTCAGCAAAATTTTGCTTGCCTGTGATAGCAATGATGATGTTTGATAATTTCCACATAGGATGATTTTTCTGGGGAATGAGAATATATACGGGTTTTTTTCCAGTAAGTTGGCCAAGAAGCTGTCCTCCACATTTCTTGGCACAACATGGTGAGCACAGATAGGCCTGAATCTGATAGGCAGTATCATGATAGATGGAGAAAAGATTAAGATTGTTTATGATGATTGCATATTGCTTGTATCTGTAATCACACTCTTGACATCAGCAACCAGGAAATCAAAAGAGAAGTTGCACTGGGGAAATCTACTACTGAGTATCTCTTCGGAGTCAGAAAGAGTAATGATGTCAATTTTGAGATTAAAGTGCACTTTATTAAAGTGCTTTGGTCCACGTCCTGGCCTTCTCTATTGCTTGTTATGCATCTGAGAGCTGGACAGTGAATGTGGATGGCCGAAGAATGTGATGCCTTCGAGTTGTGGTACTGCAGAAGAGTATTGAACATACCATGGACTGTTAGGAGAACAAACAGGTCTGTCCTGGAGATGATGAAACCAATTTGCTCTTTGGAGACAAGGATTTTGAAGCTCTGTCTGACATACTTAGGGCATATTGCCAGGAGGGACCAGTGCTTGGAGAAGGACATCATGTTTAGAGGATCAGAGCAGAAGAGGAAGACCCTGGATAAGATGGATTGACACAGTGACTGAGATAGTGGGATTAGTGGTGTCAGAGACAGGCGGACTCAGGACCGGATAAGGTCCAGAGTTATTGCTCAAAGGGTTGTTATGAGTAATAATTAACTTGACAGCACATAACACCAACAACAATTTTAATGATCTCTCCTATAAGTAGTTTTTCCCTATTTGGAAAGACATTTATTATAACTATTAATACATAAAAATATCTAAATATAAGGTTGAAGAGATGGTAATTAACTATACTGTTAATATTTGAGTGAGTATGGGTCACAATAAGATATTTTTATTTGTTGATTGCTAATAATTAATTATTTTTCTAAATTTACTTCAAGTGGCCATAGTCTTTGCAATCACTTGCTATACATCAGAGAGCTGGACAATGACTAGGGAGAATAGAAGGAGAATTGATGCTTTTGAGCTTTGGTGTTGGAGAAGAGTGCTGAGAGTACCATGGACTGCTAAGAAAACAAACAGATTCATCCTGGAGAGGGTTAAACCGGGCTGTTCCTTGCAGTTAAGGATTCTGAGGCTTCGTCTGACATACTTTGGTCATGTTGTAAGGAGAGACCGGTCCTTGGAGAAGGACATCATGCTTGGGAGAGTGGAGGGCAGGCAAAGGAGGGGAAGGCCCTCTGGGAGGTGGATTGATTCAGTGACTGGGGCAATTGGGATGACTGTGTCGGAGACAATAAGATTGGCACAGGACAGAGTAGAGTTTAGGGCTGTTGTGCATAGGTCGCTATAAGTCATAAGTGAGTCGACGGCACATAACAACAACAAATTTACTTCATTTTCCATAACATAAATCTCTCAATTCTAGAGGTGTTTGTGTTCACCTTTCATTAACATGTTCAACTAAGCATCATTCTTTTTCTCTCATCAGGTCAGCCCTTTGCCTCATTGCTACCACCAACCCCAGGAAGGCCTGAGGTAGAGGTGGAATTGATTGAGTCCAGGCTTTTCTGTAGGTGTGCCTTTCATATTTCCCCTACGAACACCACTGTGGGATTTCTCATAGCCTGGTCTAGACTTTCTTCTCAAGAACTCAAAGAGGAGCTGAAACGGGAGACCACAGTTCAGACATTTTCTCTTTTAGAACTTGATGGCATAAATCTCAGACTTGGGGACAGGGTAAGTTTAAAAACAACTTAGTTTTCTTTTCATTTCATGACTATATTTCTTTTCACAAGTGAATTTTCCTCATAGAGTCTTTGTATCCAGAATTGAAAACACTAATTTTTCTTTTTATTTATTCTTTGACAAACTGTGCCAATTCCAGTGATAATTGTTGGTTGGGCCAGAAATCTATAATACATATGAATATGTTTTTTACAATTTTCCACTTGTTACTGATAAATCTTAAATCTGTGCCTTTATAATTTTAAAATGATATCTTTTTATTTAGAAAAATATTTTTACTTCTTTTCAGTGATGGTAATACTTTTAAATCTCTTTTAAATGCAAAGCCTAGTACATTTTAATTAGAAGTTTGAATGATTAACACTTTAAGATTATGGAATTGCACTAAGTTTTCAAGGAAATTTAAAAATTATTTGCTATGTTCTATTATCTCATGTACCAATAGTTGAAATTAAGTATCTAAAGGTACTTTGCACACATTTTATTGCTAAGTGACTATTTGTTACCTGTTTTCATAGGTATTCTGTAGCGCCTCTTCCTTTTTCTTGGAAAAACCAAATGTACAAAGTTTAGCCATCGAAAGCCAAGAATTCTTTGTGGGCATTAAGGTATGTAGCAACTGGGATGGATCAGGAAGATTTTTCCTCTTTGATTTGTTTTTCCAAATTGTGATCTAGGATGTTGGTTGCTGGACTGTATCATCCAGTGATTAAAAATGTTGAGACTCAGAAGTTCAGTTTTGATAATTAACCCTAATTACCCGAATGACAAAAACTCTTATTTAGCTTTTGCTAAGAAACTAAAGTTAAAACACATTTGGATTATTTCTGAAATACTTTAAATGAGAACCCTACAAGAATTCCATTTGTGTAATTAATTCCAGTCTAGATGGGCTCTCCCCCTGAACAATTAAACTGCCTCTGAAAACCTGCTGGGAGGTCCGCTAAGGGTTGATTTCTCCTCCACAGCACAAACAGCAACGTTCTTAAAAGTTGGTGTTCATTGTCATCAAGTCAGAATCAACTCATAGCTGATCCTCCAGTGAGTTTTCAGAAGCTGTAGATCAGACAGGAGGTGACTTCCCATCTTTCTCTCAAGGAGTAGCGGCTGGTAGACAGATTCGAACTGCCTGCCTTTAGGTTTTCTGCATAACTCTTTATCTACCAGGCCACCAGAGCTCCCTGTTGTAGGATGTTAATGTTGTTGGTGTGTGCTGTGGAGTCAGAACCAACTTATAATGGACAGCCTAGCAGGTTTTCAGAGACAGCATTTCACAAGGGAGGACATCATTCTCCCTCAGAGCAGCCGGTGGATTTACAATGCCTGATTTTGTGATTGTCGTGCACTTTCCTACTACTAGGCCACCAGGTCTAGGATGTGGTACACAGTAAATGTAACTGTGGAAAACAGATACAAAAACAAGCTGAGGCTTGCGATATTTCAGGAGACAAAAAGAAATAGATGTGTCATTAAAATTATATTTCTAATTGAGTCAATTGATCAATATAATTAATATCACATGCAAGCAAAATATTATTCAAGATCCTCCAAAAATGGCTAGATAAGTACACTGACAAAAGAACTGCTAGATGTTCAAGCTGGGTTTAGAAGAAGCCACGGCACCGGAAATATCAAGCAGATAGATCTTGGCTGACAGCAGATAATACCAGAAGAATGTGCATTTGTGTTTTTTTGGCTGTGCAAAAGTATTTGATTATGTGGATGAGAGCAAACTATGGCTAACATTGACAAAAATTGGAACCCCAGAACACTTAATTATGCTCATATAAAACCTATACCTATAAAATCAAAACCCCCCAGAATCCCAAAAGAAACCCTGATACCTAGAACAAGAAGCCGTTGTCTGAACAGAGAAAGGGAATATTGCATGGTTTAAAATGTGTATGTGTTCCAGGATTGTAACCTTTCTTCTTACCTATTCAATCTGTATGTTGTGCAAATAATTTGAGAAACTGAACTTTATGAAAAGGAACGTGGCATCAGGATTGGAGGAAGACTCATCAATAACCTGTGTTATGTTGATGACACAACTTGCTCACTAAAAGTGAGGAGGACTTGAAACGTTTACTGCAGAACATCAAAGAATATAGCCTTCAATATGGATTACATCTTAGCATCAAGAAGACAGAAATCCTTACCACTGGGTACATAAGGCTGTATGATAGATGGAGAAAAGATAGAAATTGTCAAGCATTCATTTTACTTGTCTCAACTTTGTGCCAACAGTCAGGAAATCAGGAGATGCATTACTATGGGAAAGTCCACTTTCAGGTATTTTACCAGAATGCTGAGGAAGAATGGTGTCAGTTTAAAGACTAAGGTGTGTCTGATCCAGACCATTGTATTTTCAGTCACCTGCTACTGAGAACTAGACAATGAATAAAGGTGGCAGAAGAATGATAGCTTTGAGTTGCAGTGTTGAGAAGAGTACTGAAAATTCCATGGACTGTTCAAAGAATAAACAAGTATGTCTTAGAGAAGGTGTAGCTACAGTGCTCCTTGGAGGCAAGGATGGTGAACTTTTGTCTCATATATTTTGGGCCTCTTGTCAGGAGGGGCTGTTCCTTGGAAAAGTGGAGGGTTAGCAAAAGAGAGGAAGACTCTCAACAAAATGAACTGATACAGTGATTACAGCAGTGGGGTCAAGCAAATCAAAGATGATGAAGATGGCACAAGACAGGACAGGACAGGGCCCAGATCTGTTGTTTATAGTGTTGCTGTGAGTCATACTTGACTCAAAGGCATTTAACAACTACACTAACCCCTAAGAATAAGTAGATTCTTGTGTGAGTCACGTAGCATTAGCAAAGCTAGTAGAAGAATGAAAGAATTTGTCTATCTTCCTTTTCCACTGCCCACCACAGAACCAGATCACCAAGACAGACTTGTCTTGGGTGAGACTTTCCTAGTATCTGTTGAGGAACAAAATTTCATCTGAACTCAGAGTAGGACAGTAGCTCAATATGCTTTACTGTGCATTCATTGGTCATAGTGCTACAGGTTTGAGATTCATTTGTCTTATTTAATTGAAAAGTCAAGCATCTAAGTATTACTATCA